GCATCGTTACATGAAGCACTCAACATTGCCACCTGCACCACTCAACATTGCCTCATCCACAACTCAGCACCGCCACGTGCACCACTCATCATCGCCACATGCACCACGTTGCATGGCAACATGCAGCACTCAGCATCGCCACATGCCCCACTCAACATCGCCAAATGCACGACTCAGCATCGCCACATGTACCACTCAACTTTGCCACATGCACCACTCAGCATCGCCACATGCATCACTAAGCATCGCCACATGCACCACTCAGCATAGCCACATGCACAAGTCAAAATTGCCTGATGCACCACTCAACATTGCACATGCACCACTCAACATCGCCACATGCACCACTCAACATCGCCACATGCACAACTCAGCATCGCCACATGCACCACTCAGCATCGCCACATGCACCACTCAACACCACCACATGCACCACTGAGCATCACCACAGGCAACACTCATCATCGCCTCATGCACCACTCAACATCGCCACATGCACCATTTTGCATTACTCCATGCGCCACTCAGCATTGCCACATGCACCACTCAGCATCGCCACATGCACCAATCAGCATCGCCACGTGCACCACTCAGCATCCCCACATGCACCACTCAGCATCGCCATATGCGCCACTCAGGATTGCCACATGCACCACTCAGGATTGCCACATTCACCACTGAACATCGCCACATGCGCTGCTGAGCATCGCCATAGGCAACACTCAACATCGCCTCATACACCACTCAACATCGCCACATGCACCACGCAACATCGCCACATGCACCACTCAACATCGCCACATGCACATCTCAGCATCGCCACATGCACCACTCAGCATCGCCACATGCACCACTCAACATCACCACATGCACCACTGAGCATCGTCACAGGCAACACTCATCATCGCCTCATGCACCACTCAACATCACCACATGCACCATTTTGCATTACACCATGCGCCACTCAGCAGCCCCACATGCATCCTTCAAGATCACCACATGCATCACTCAGCATCGCCACATGTACCAATCAGCATCGCCACATGCACCACTCAACGTCGCCACATGGACCACTCAGCATCGCCACATGCACCAATCAGCATCGCCACGTGCACCACTCAGCATCGCCACATGTACCACTCAACATCGCCACATGCACCACACAGCATCGCCACATGCACCACACAGCATCGCCACATGCACCACTCAACATTGCCATATGCACCACTCAGCATCACCACATGCACGACTCAGCATCACCACATGCGCAACTCAACATCACCACATGCACCACTCAACACCGCCAGAAGCACCACTCAGCATCGCCACATGCACCACTCAACGTTGCCCCATGCACAAGTCAGTATCGTCACATGCACCTCTCAGTATCGCCAAATGCACCACTCAGTAATGCCACATGCACCACTCAGCATCACCATATGCACCACTCAGGATTGCCACATGCACCACTCAACATAGCCAAAAGCACGAATCAGTATTGGTATAGGCAACACTCAACATCGCCTCATGCACCACTCAACATCGCCACATGCACCACTTTGTATCACACCATGCACAACTCAGCAGCCCCACATGCACCACTTAACATCGCAACATGCGATGGCATATCGCAACATGCGATGGCACCTGGCACATGCGATGGCACCTGGCACATGCGATGGCACATGCGCAGGCAATATGGCTGTTTGACGTTCTTGCTCACTGACTTAGGTGAGCGGCCTAGCTCTACCTCGTTCCTGTACGCTGACAATATGGCCATGATCCTCCTGTGTCAAGAGGCCCAACTGAGGGCAGAACGAAGCACATTCAGTTGCGGTACTTGCTCATGCGCGAGCTACAGCAGTGCGGCCAGGCACGAGTAGTACTCTTGGCCTCCGGTGCCAACACAGCTGATATATTTACCAAGGCGTCTACGCCTAGAGATCATCACAGGCACTGCTTACAGCTTGGTTTGGTTCTAGTAGCTTCTCACTTGCTAAAACCCTGAGTTGTGCACTCCTTATTATATTATCTTGACTGGCCTTATGGCTGCTGTCTTATAGGCTGGACTAGTAGTGTCGCAGTTACCCATGTTGAGTTAGTACTCTTGCTGACTGGCCTTCGGAACCCTGCCTCAAAGGTTGGACTAGTAGTGTCGCCCCGAGTGTCGTGGCACTGGGATGACCCTGTCGAACCTCTTCTCTCTCTAGGGAGGGTACTAGGAAGGCTTTCCCTGAGAACGGTGGATATATGGAGCCTAACTCTCCTGAGGATATCCCTTCTTGTCCCAGTGGTTAGGACTGGTGACTTTATGGCATAGTATCAGAGCAATCCAGGGTTCAATTCCTGGCATACACGCTATCCCAATGGGGGGGTGTGTCGTGGCACTAGGATAACCTTGTCGAACCTCTACTCTCTCTTAGGAGGGTACTAGAGAGGCTTTCCCTGGAGAAGGTGGATATATGAAGCCTAACTCTCTTGAGGGTATCTCGTCTTGTTCCAATGGTTAGGACTGGTGACTTTAAGACACCGAGCTGTGTGTTTCTTGCTAGGCACTGCCCCTTATCTAGCCTAGCGAATGTATGTGCTGAATGTATAGCGTATTCCCCCAGATACAGCCACTAGGTGCGTTTAGAAATTATAGTCAAAATTTGGGGGTGCTTAAAATTGAATTAATTTCATATGGCACGGTATGAAATAAAGGGATTTATGGAAAATTCAGATATGAACATGAAAATGTAGCTGGAACAATTTCCAATATGGTGGATATGCTCCCAAACGGGAACGCCCCGAACATTCCCTCGAAAACCGCTCGACAGTAGATTGCCAGCGAGCAAGGGTTGATCGCGACCATCCGCTCCTCTCTCATCGCACAACAGCAGAGGACATCCGACTAGAATTCGTGTGGCGAGGTGACGAGGACCGATTTTGTGTGAAGAAACGACTGCGGTAGGCGAATCTCAACTTGAATATGACAAAAAATGCGGTCAACCCCAGCCAGTGCACGGAAAATAGGGGGGTGCGTGTGGGGACTAGATCCTGGCCAACAGCCGGGTGCGTATAAATGGCACACCCAATATGATACCCCTCCGGATATATGCACCATGGTGCGTTTTAGCCGACGGTGCGTATATCCGGGGAAAGACGGTAGTTATAGATGCTGTGATAAATTTGTACTTAAGCATTTCTGAAAGTATGTTCCGATAGATACTGTTGAGTTATACTGTAGTTAGCATCCGTAGAATGACGTTAGCAAATAGCGCTCGTCTGGATGATTACGTCAGCAAGCCTTTCAGTTACGCGAACAGTCGCACCCCTTTCAGTAGCGATTAGAACGCATATCGCAAATATCATTGAACAGTTACATAACCGAACAGGTACTTCTAGCAGATACAAAAGTAGCCTGTCTTTTCTTCTATTGTTAACTTGTTCTTCAGTAAATTCCTGTCAGCACAAACAAGTTCTAAGACTTCCGCTGTCTTACCAGTCTACCATTCCAGCAAAGATCCTTGTCTTAACATTTTAATGAATTGAGTAGAATGGGAGTATACAGAGGTATATAGCTAATGGGTTGTACTCTCTATGGCATGACCCTATGTAGTCTACTAAACATACACACATATGTTTGACACAACCCCTAGACTAGATAGGGGCAGAGCCAAGTGAGAGACAAGCAGCTCAAGGTGGCACTACTGGTCCAACCTCAGAGGCAGGGGTCTAAAGACCAGTCAAAAGAGTACAAACAAGACAAGAACAAGACCAGGAAGCACTACTAGTCCAGTCACAAGGAGAAAGCCACAAGGCCAGTAAGGATAATATATAAAGAGTTTATACACAATCAAGGTCCTAGCAAATGAGGTGCTACAGGAACGAGACCAAGCTGTACGCAGTGCCGCTGATGATCTTTAGGCGCAAGCACCTTCATAAAGATATCAATTGTGTTGGCACCAGAGGCCAAGTTAACTACGCGGGCCTGGCGACGATGCTGTAGCTCGCGCAGGAGGAAGTACCGCAGCTGAATGTGCTTCGCTCTGCCCTCGAGTTTGGGCTCTTGAAACAGGAGGATCATGGCCCTGTTGTCAGTGTACATGACCAAGGCAGAGCTAGGTGCTCACATAAGTCTGTGAACAAGAAAGTCAGCCAACGGAGCTCCTGTGCCGCCATGGCACCTGCGTAGATCTCGGCCTCATAGCTAGACTGGGCAACAAACGACGAGCGGGTGGACCTCCACGAGACAGCACCTGCACCAAGGCTAAAGCAGTAGCCCTGGGAGGACCTGAGAGTCTCGGCATCGTCTGCCCAAGAAGTGTCTGTGTGCCTGGAAAGGACCACTGGTCTGTATCCTCCTAGCACTAGCCCCATGTCCAATGTACTTGCTAGGTAACACAGAACCCTCTTAGCTGCAGACCAGTGCTGTGGTCGATGTCTGCCGAAGGCCACAAAGTGGGCCAGGATACTCAGAGGGTATGCAAGATCTGGACGAGTGCAAGTCATCAGGTACATGAGGCAACCCACATGCTTTGCATAAGGACCACTAGGCTCTACAGCCTCCTCTGGGACTGGAGCAGAGAGTCAGTGGTCTATTGGCAGAGGGGTGGGCTGTGCGGAAGAGAACTGAAGGTCGAACCTCTGAAGGACCTAGAAGTACTCAAAAGATAAATCCGAAATTATGGACAAGAAATTCATCCCCACAAAACACGTCGTCAAGAAAGGTAGCGGTTGGAACTTCGCAAAACTCAGCTATCATTCCCAATTCGAATCACATCGATAAATGAAGTATTCGAGACACTATGCATTTCGGCGCACAAGGGCGTATGCTGTAGAAGAAGAACTTAACTCAATCTCAAAGTTCAATCAAGGTTAAGAAGGAATGAGAGGAGCAAGAACGGGGTTGGAAGAGAAGAGAGGGATGAGAGGGAAGGCCCCAAGAGAGTCCCCTATCTAAGAAACCCTATAAGCACAAAGATTCCCTCCCTATAGGAACCCCAACTTTGACATTTGTCCCTTCCCAACAAATCCAATCAAGTTGTCCCTTTCGGCTCTGCCCCTCCTCCAACTGCTGCTGCTGCAAGTGGTGGTGCTCCTGTTGCTGCTGCTCCTGCTATTGCTCTTGATGGTTCTGCTGTTGCTGCAGTAGCTGTTGCTGCTGGTGCTGCCATTGCTGTTGCTGCTGCTGCTGCATTTGTCACTGCTGCTGTAATTGGTGGTGATATTGCTGCTGGTGCTGGTGCTGGTGCTGGTGCTGGTGCAGGTGCTGGTGCTCCTTTCTTCCTCCTCTTCCCAACCCTCCTCCACCTTTCTCTGAACCCCCTCTTCCCCTCTCTGTCTTCCAGCAGCTGCTACAGCCGCCTCTCGAACCCCACACTCCCCTTCGAACCTCCCTCTGACCTGTGCTCATATTCACCTCTAACCGCACCTCTTACCTGCACTGCCTCTATCCCTGCTTTCCACAGCAGCTTCACGTGCACCTTAAGAGACGCCAGCAACGGGCTTCTGTCTTACAGCAGCTGCTATAGCCGTCTCTCGCACCCCACACTCCACCTCGACCTCCCTCTGACCTGTGCTCATATTCACCTCTAACCGCACCTCTCACCTGCACTGCCTCTATCCCTGCTTTCCACAGCAGCTTCACGTGCGCCTTAAGAGACGCCAGCAATGGGCTTCTGTCTTCCAGCAGCTGCTACAGCCGTCTCTCGCACCCCACACTCCCCCTCGACCTCCCTCTGACATGTGCTCATATTCACCTCAAACCGCACCTCTCTCCTGCACTGCCTCTATCCCTGCTTTCCACAGCACCTTCACGTGCGCCATATGAGATGCCAGCAACGGGCTTCTGTCTTCCAGCAGCTGCTACAGCCGCCTCTCGCACCCCACACTCCCCCTCGACCTCCCTCTGACCTGTGCTCATATTCACCTCCAACCGCACCTCTCACGTGCACTACCTCTATCCCTGTTTTCCACAGCAGCTTCACGTGCGCCTTAAGAGACGCCAGCAACCGGCTTCTGTCTTCCAGCAGCTGCTACAGCCGCCTCTCGCACCCCACACTCCCCCTCGACCTCCCTCTGACCTGTGCTCATATTCACCTCTAACCGCACCTCTCACCTGCACTGCCTCTATCCCTGCTTTGCACAGTAGCTTCACGTGCGCCTTTAGAGACGCCAGCAACGGGCTTCTGTCTTCCAGTAGCTGCTACAGCCGCCTCTCGCACCCCACACTCCCCCTCGACCTCCCTCTGACTCGTGCTCATATTCACCTCAAACCGCACCTCTCACCTGCACTGCCTCTATCCCTGCTTTCCACAACAGCTTCACGTGGGCCTTTAGAGATGCCAGCAATTGGCTTCTATCTTCTAGCAGCTGCTACAGCCGCCTCTCGCACCCCACACTCCCCCTCGACCTCCCTCTGACATGTGCTCATATTCACCTTTAACCGCACCTCTCACTTGCACTGCCTCTATCCCAGCTTTCCACAGCAGCTTCACGTGCGCCTTTAGAGACGCCAACAACAGGCTTCTCTCTTCCAGCAGCTGCTATCGCCACCTCTCGCACCCCACACTCCCCCTCGACCTCCCTCTAACCTGTGCTCATATTCACCTCAAACCGCACCTCTCACCTGCACTGCCTCTATCCCTGCTTTCCACAGCAGCTTCACGTGCGCCTTTAGAGACGCCAGCAACGGGCTTCTGTCTTCCAGCAGCTGCTACAACCGCCTCTCGCACCCCACACTCCACCTCGACCTCCCTCTGACCTGTGCTCATATTCACCTCAAACCGCACCTCTCACCTGCACTGCCTCTATCCCTGCTTTCCACAGCAGCTTCACGTGCGCCTTTAGAGACGCCAGCAACGGGCTTCTGTCTTCAAGTAGCTGCTATAGCCATCTCTCGCACCCCAAACTCCCCCTCGACCTCCCTCTGACCTGTGCCCATATTCACCTCAAACCGCACCTCTCACTTGCACTGCCTCTATCAGTGCTTTCCACAGCAGCTTCATGTGCGCCATTAGAGATGCTAGCAACAGGCATCTGTCTTCCAGCAGCTGCTATAGCCGCCTCTCGCACCGCACACTCCCCCTCGACCTCCCTCTGACTCGTGCTCATATTCACCTCCAGCCGCACCTCTCACCTGCACTGCCTCTATCCCTGCTTTCCACAGCAGCTTCACGTGTGCCTTTAGAGACGCCAGCAAAGGGCTTCTATCTTCCAGCAGCTGCTACAGCCGCCTCTCACACCCTACACACCCCCTCGACCTCCCTCTGACCTGTGCTCATATTCACCTCAAACCGCACCTCTCACTTGCACTGCCTTTATCACTACTTTCCACAGCAGCTTCATGTGCGCCTTTAGAGATGCCAGCAAAGGGCTTCTGTCTTCCAGAAGCTGCTACAGCAGCCTCTCGCACCCCACACTCCCCCTCGACCTCCCTCTGACTCGTGCTCATATTCACCTCCAGCCGCACCTCTCACCTGCACTGCCTCTATCCCTGCTTTCCACAGCAACTTCACGTGTGCCTTTAGAGACGCCAGCAACAGGCTTCTATCTTCCAGTAGCTGCTACAGCCGCCTCTCGCACCCTACACACCCCCTCGACCTCCCTCTGACCTGTGCTCATATTCACCTCAAACCGCACCTCTCACTTGCACTGCCTCTATCACTACTTTCCACAGCAGCTTCATGTGCGCCTTTAGAGATGCCAGCAACGGGCTTCTGTCTTCCAGCAGCTGCTACAGCCGCCTCTCGCACCCCACACTCCCCCTCGACCTCCCTCTGACCCGTGCTCATATTCACCTCTAACCGCACCTTTCACCTGCACTGCCTGTATCCCTGCTTTCCACAGCACCTTCACGTGTGCCTTTAGAGACGCCAGCAATGGGCTTCTATCTTCCAGCAGCTGCTACAGCCGCCTCTCACACCCTACACACCCCCTCGACCTCCCTCTGACCTGTGCTCATATTCACCTCAAACCGCACCTCTCACTTATACTTCCTCTATCACTGCTTTCCACAGCAGCTTCATGTGCACCTTTAGAGATGCCAGCAACGGGCTTTTGTCTTCCAGCAGCTGCTACAGCCGCCTCTCGCACCCCACACTCCCCTTCGACCTCCCTCTGACTCGCGCTCATATTCACCTCCAGCCGCACCTCTCACCTGCACTGCCTCTATCCCTGCTTTCCACAGCAGCTTCACGTGTGCCTTTAGAGACGCCAGCAAAGGGCTTCTATCTTCCAGCAGCTGCTACAGCCGCCTCTCGCACCCTACACACCCCCTCGACCTCCCTCTGACCTGTGCTCATATTCACCTCAAACCGCACCTCTCACTTGCACTGCCTCTATCACTACTTTCCACAGCAACTTCATGTGCGCCTTTAGAGATGCCAGCAACGGGCTTCTGTCTTCCAGCAGCTGCTACAGCCGCCTCTCGCACCCCACACTCCCCCTCGACCTCCCTCTGACCCGTGCTCATATTCACCTCCAACCGCACCTTTCACCTGCACTGCCTCTATCCCTGCTTTCCACAGCACCTTCACGTGTGCCTTTAGAGACGCCAGCAATGGGCTTCTATCTTCCAGCAGCTGCTACAGCCGCCTCTCACACCCTACACACCCCCTCGACCTCCCTCTGACCTGTGCTCATATTCACCTCAAACCGCACCTCTCACTTGTACTGCCTCTATCACTGCTTTCCACAGCAGCTTCATGTGCACTTTTAGAGATGCCAGCAACGGGCTTCTGTCTTCGAGCAGCTGCTACAGCCGCCTCTCGCACCCCACACTCCCCCTCGAGCTCCCTCTGGCTCGTGCTCATATTTACCTCCAACCGCACCTTTCACCTGCACTGCCTCTATCCCTGCTTTCCACAGCACCTTCACGTGTGCCTTTAGAGACGCCAGCAATGGGCTTCTATCTTCCAGCAGCTGCTACAGCCGCCTCTCACACCCTACACACCCCCTCGACCTCCCTCTGACCCGTGCTCATATTCACCTCAAACCGCACCTCTCACCTGCACTGCCTCTATCCCTGCATTCCACAGCACCTTCACGTGCGTCTTTAGAGACGCCAGCAATGGGCTTCTGTCTTCCAGTAGCTGCTACATCCGCCTATGGCACCCCACACTCCCCCTCGACCTCCCTTTGACCTAGGCTCATATTTACCTCAAACCGCACCTCTCACCTGCACTGCCTCTATCCCTGCTTTCCACAGCACCTTCACGTGCGCCTTTAGAGACGCCAGCAATGGGCTTCTATCTTCCAGCAGCTGCTACAGCCGCCTCTCGCACCCTACACACCCCCTCGACCTCCCTTTTACCTGTGCTCATATTCACCTCAAACCGCACCTCTCACTTGCACTGCCTCTATCACTGCTTTCCACAGCAGCATCATGTGCGCCTTTAGAGATGCTAGCAACGGGCATCTGTCTTCCAGCAGCTGCTATAGCCGCCTCTCGCACCCCACACTCCCCCTCGACCTCCCTCGGACTCGTGCTCATATTCACCTCCAACCGCACCTCTCACCTGCACTGCCTCTATCCCTGCTTTCCACAGCACCTTCACGTGTGCCTTTAGAGACGCCAGCAATGGGCTTCTATCTTCCAGCAGCTGCTACAGCCCCCTCTCGCACCCTACACACCCCCTCGACCTCCCTCTGACCTGTGGTCATATTCACCTCAAACAACACCTCTCACTTGCACTGCCTCTATCACTGCTTTCCACAGCAGCTTCATGTGCACCTTTAGAGATGCCAGCAACGGGCTTCTGACTTCCAGCAGCTACTACAGCCGCCTCTCGCACCCCACACTCTCCCTCGACCTCCCTCTGACCTGTGCTCATATTCACCTCAAACCGCACCTCTCACCTGCACTGCCTCTATCCCTGCTTTCCACAGCAGCTTCACGTGTGCCTTTAGAGACGCCAGCAACGGGCTTCTGTCTTCCAGCAGCTGCTACAGCCGCCTCTCGCACCCCACACTCCCCCTCGACCTCCCTCTGATCTGTGCTCATATTCACCTCAAACCGCACCTCTCACCTGCACTGCCTCTATCCCTGATTTCCACAGCAGCTTCACGTGCGCCTTTAGAGACGCCAGCAATGGGTTGCCACAGCCGCCTCTCCCCCACACACTCCCTCAATCTCCCCTCCACCGCCTCCCTACTCTCCCTCCCTCTTCTTCGGTGCCTCATAACCATCCCCCCTGCCCTCTTAACCCTTTCACATTTGAGTTGAAATATGAGTCCACTCATAACCATCGGTACCTCTTCTTGGAATACAAGTGACAGCACTGCCTACTGCTGCTGCTCCTCACTCCCCTGCAGTGCATGCACTGCTGCCAACTATTCGGTGGTGAAGTCCCCACAGTTTGATGAAGGGGAAATGAGTGGGTGAGCTGCCTTGGCTTGCAGGGGAGGACAAAGGTGGAGCATGCAGAGAGAGGCACGTCCGCTCGGAATGCAATGCTGCTGCAACGTGCTTTGATTTGAGATGGGTTTTGCAACGTTTCAAACGAGACACCTCAAAGCACGAGGCACCTCCACTCAGAGCGGAAGCAATAGCGCTGCCTGCTGCTGCCTCCCAGCCTCCTCCTGCCGACTGCACCGATCCATTATTACCAACCATACCGTCGTGCAAACCGCAAGCTTCCAAAGTCTAATGCAGGAAAAAAGGGGAAGTGAGCTACCTTGGCTAGCTTGGCTTGCAGGGGAGACCAAGAGGTGGCGAATCCAAGAGCAGAGCCACCTCTGTCCAGGATACTAGCGACAGCACGGCCTGCTGCTGCTGCTGCTGCTGCATTCACAAGGTAAGAGCCGTACCTTGGCTGGCTGGAGAGACGAAGGTGGTGGCGTATCCAAGAGGAGGCACGTCTGCCCAGAACACAAGAGACAGCACCAGCTCCTCCTGCTCCTCCTGCTTATGCACTCCTGTCTTCTGCCACTCCTGCTTCTCCTGCTTAAGCACCCCTATCTTTTGCACCCCTGTCTTCTACACCCCTGTCTTCTACACCCCAATCGCAAAAGGGGAATGGAGGAAAGCAACCACATCGAGGTGCCAACATGGTAGCTGATCCTGCTGAAGAAACCTCCAAGGACGACAAAGGAATGGGAAATGAGGAGAGGAATGCTGGACAATTCTACCATGTGTGTGACAAAGATGACACTGGCACAGCTGTTGCAAGGGCTGGAGAGGAATTGCACCCGCTTGACATGTGGGTCATGGACTCTGGTGCTGCATGGACTATGACACCACGCAAGGACTTGCTGGATGACATGTGGGTCATGGACTGGTTGTGCTGAAGGACGTGTTACTCGTACCGGGGCTGAAGGCCAATCTGATATCGCTGCGCAAGCAAGGCCAGGCCAGAGTCTGCACCACCACCAATGGATCCAAAACATTCAAGGGGCTGCGAGGAGATCGTGTGTTATGGGATTTACACGAAAGCAGAGATGTCTTCAGATCCATGTGGCACATCCCTGCACTGATATGGGAACCAACAAAGAAGGAGATGGGAGCAGTAAAGGCGGGATCTGGAATCCAGGGGGAGTGCAATGCAGTTAGTGCTGCAGGAGTGACGGTTTCTGCAAGGTCGGGGGAGACTAATTGGCAAACCGCACACAGGCGTCTAGGGCATGTGGCTATGCCATTGCTGTAGCAACTGCATAAGGAAGAAGCAGTAAAGGGGCTGAAGCTTTCTTGGCAACCAAATGATACCAAGTGCGAGACGTGTCTGCTGAGCAAGTTCACACGGTTCCCCTTTCACGGCGTAGCTAGGTAAAGCAAGGCAGCACTGGAACTGGTGCACATGGACTTGGTAGGACCTTTTCCAGTTCGAGGAAGTAAGGGGGAAAGGTACTTCCTGACAATAGTTGATGACTGGAGTCGGCTGATGTGGGCATACCCGTTGAAGTAGAAGGATCATGCTGCCTCAACAATACGAGATGACTGGCTGCCGTTCGTCGAGCGACAATCTGGGCACCCATGCAAGAGCATCAGAACCGACCGACGTGGAGAGTTTCTAGGAGGAGATCTGACTGCGTGGCTCAAGAAACAAGGCATTGAGCATCAGCTAATGACTTCCTATACCCCTCAGTCAAATGGCGTTGCCGAGAGGGCTAATAGGACCATCCTGGAAACTGCGCGAGCGCTGCTGATCGAATCAGGGCTGGGGAACTCCATGTGGCCTCATGCGGTGAGGCATGCTACAGTGGCAAGGAACCGTGTACTCACAAAGGTGGCTGATGATATGTGGGTGCCGCTGGAGAGGTTGCTTGGAAAGAAGCCTCCAGTGGACATGCTTAGAGTGTTCGGATGCATGGCAGTGGCGCATGTCCCCAAACCGTACAGGACAAAGCTTGGAGCATCTGCACTGTGGTGTGTGCACCTTGGGCTTGCGGCAGAGAGCAAGGGGTGGCTACTCTGGGAGCCCTCAAAGAAGGTGCTGTTTGACAGTCGGGATGTCAAATTTGTAGAGAACATCATGTATGGCAAGTGGGAGAAGCAGCCGGAGGCAAGGGTCACTCAGCAGCTGGAAGAGATCACTATGCACTTCGATTTGTCCAAACTTGAGGACAGCGAAGTCACTGCGTCAACGGCAAGCGGTACTGATGAAGGAAGCAATGAGGATATTGCAGCTGATGCTGAAGTCAAGGATCCGGAGCAGCAGCAGCAAGAGGCTTCCAAAACACCAAGTCTGCCAAAGGATTGGGTGAAGGTGAAAGAATGGGTAAATCCAACCATCTATCCTGCACGTACCAGAATGGCAACAAGAAAGCTGCTGAGCTCTACAAGTGGAGGAGCCACAACTGAGCAGCAGGAACAAGCTCAAGGCGAAGATGAAGTGCTGTTCTTGGGTGATGACCAAGATTCAGATGACGAGGAGCTTGCATATTGCTTTTACGCACCAATACAACCTCCGAGCATGGATCATGCGCTAGCCGGGCCTCAACGGGGGAAGTGGCTCGTTTCAAGAGATGCAGAGTACAACAGCCAGATGGAGAATCACACATGGGACCTGGTGTACTTGCCAAATGGGAAGAAGGCAACACAGTACAAGTGGCTGGCAAAAATCAAGACGGATGAGAAAGGAGAGCCATCAGTTTACAAGAGCAGGCTGGTGGCAAAGGGGTTTCAGCAGAAAGAGAAGGAAGATTACAAAGAAGTGTTTGCCCCAACTGCTAAGTCTCCAACGCTACGTGTGCTGCTGGCAGTAGTTGCTGTGCGCAAATGGAAGGTAAAGCAGATGGACATCGTAACCGCTTTTCTGTATGGCATTGTGGAAGAGGAGGTGTACATGGTTCAACCACCTGGCTATGAGGATGGAACCGGTCGTGTCTGCAAACTTAACAAGGTCATCTATGGCTTGAAGCAGGCCCGAAGATGCTGGTACAACAGGCTGGCCAGTGCACTGGAAGGGATTGGATTCCGTGCGAGTGCATGCGACGAGAGCCTATTCCTGATGGGTGAGGGGTAGTCGCTTGTGCTTTTGCTGGTGTACGTGGATGACATCCTGCTCTTCAGCAGCAGTGACAAGGAGATCGATGGAGTGCAGCGGAAGCTTACAGAGCAGTTCAAGTGCAAGTCACTTGGAGAGGCAAGGTACTACCTGGGAATGCACATTGAGCGGGATACTGAACGTGGCTGGCTCAAACTGCATCAGTGACAGTACATCCACACCTTGGCTAAGAAGTACTCTCTGCAAGAAGAACCGGAAGTGGTCACACCTTTGCCTTCTCAGTTCAAACTCATAAAGGCAGCTGAAGGAGAAGGAGTTGAGAGTGAAGACCAGAGGCAATTCCAATCCATGGTCGGGAGCCTACTCTACGTTGCTGTGCATACTCGGCTAGACATCAGCTTTGCTGTGGGACAGCTGGCTCGAGTAGTGCAAAATCCAACAGAAGAGCAGTATGGTGCAGCGGAGAGAGTGGTGCGCTACCTCAAGTCATACCCTACAGTGGGAGTACAGTATTCAGCCTCTGCTCAACTCAGGCAAAAAGGAGTTGAAGTCCTCAAAGAGAAGGGGGAGCAGCTCGGAGAAGGAAAGGTGTTCCTTTCCTGTTTTGCTGATGCCACATGGGCTTCTGAGCATGAGGATTCATCATCAGTTGGTGGATACATCTGCATGGTGGGAGGTGGGCCTGTAAGTTGGAGGTCCAAGAAGCAGTCTGAGACGGCACTATCTTCAGTGGAATTTGAGTACATGGCGATGTTTCATGCGGCAAAAGAAATCATATGGCTAAGAGGCTCTTGAAGGAGATCGGCCGTGAACAGACTTGTGCGACACCTCTGTTCAGTGACAGCAAGGGAGCCATTGCCATGGCACGCAATGCAGTTCTTCATGGGTTGAACAAGCACATGAGGATCAAGTGGCATTGGCTGCAGAAAGAGGTGAAGCTTGGGACACTGGATCCGATCTACATGAAAACTCAGCAACAGCCAGCTGACTTCCTTACCAAGCGGCTGGATGAAGAGCCACATTGGCGCTGTGCGAGGATGGCGGGAATGTCCTTGAACTAGAGACAGCGAAACAAGCCGACAGTCTGAGGGGGAGTGTGTTGGTGCATATTCGTTTGCACGTCATCCTGTTGTCTGTTCGCATCATTTCGTTGCATGTGTTTTGTGTGCTACGTTGTTTGTGTGGTTTGTTGGGTTTGCATGTCTTTGCATGTTCATCTTGTGCTTGTGCAGATGTGCTTGTATTGTGCATGACATCGAGCACATTCCAACGAGCCAAGGATTGTTGGAATCGGAGCACATATGAAGAAGTTACGAAGAAATGTTTGATGGATTTGTTACAACTCATTGGAAGTCCTTGGCAGCTGCTACACCAAAGCTGGAGAGCCTTATAACGAGGAGGGACCAGCATGTGTGGGACTTTTGTCCTCACCTTGCAGCTGCAGCATTTGGGGTTTGGAGGCCAACCTGGCACAGTGTGAATTTTGTCTTGCCAGGCTGGTTGAACCTGAGGATGGGGAGTCAAGATTTTGACTCTTGTCATGTTCTTGACCATGGGCCTCTAGGGACCTTCCCTTTCATCCTTCCCTTCCATCCTCACCTTCCAACTGTGCTTCAATGCCTTTTCTATCATGCCTTTGAACTTGTAAGCTTCAATCATAGTGACTCTGAGGACTGTCAATTTCTCCTAGGGCAGATTACCCCCCAGTGCGCCAAACGCCATAGGTCACTCGTTCAGCTACGGAATCGAGTGATTCAACTTTCAGTGGAAAGCTGACACTGCAAGCTACTACATATCTGATTTTCAGATCGTTTTACCGATTGGAGTTTTGGTTATAGCTTTTCGAAGGTCGCGAGTTTTCTAGGCGTCATAACGAAGTGCTGCAGAAATTTCCAAGGAGCCATTGAATCATCTGCTTATATAGCCTTCTCTAACCAACTGTTGCTCTACTGTAGCAGCTGCAAATTGGTTGGGAACAACCAAACTAGGTTGGCAAGAGTGGCCAACTTGGATGGATTGGTTGAGAAGGGAAAATGGTCAAAATTGAGGTTCCTATAGGAAGGGAACCTTGTGCTTATGGGGTTTCCTTGGTTGGGGACTCTCTTGGGACCTTCTCTCTCATCCCTCTCTTCTGATCCCAACTTTTCTCTTGCTCCTCTAATTCCTTGTGAGATT